TCTGGGTGGACTGGTTGTGCGACTTTGATGTGCCAGACAATGCTAGGATACAGGTATGTGATCCCTCCGGCGAAGTTGATTCTTGGGGTGGTAAGATATTCATGACGTGCTCCGCATATGAGCCCACCCAAAAGTTCTAGTCTCGGATTCCTGCAACCACAACTGGCGATCCGCTCTATTACCCTTGGATTCGGCCGTGCCGGCTCACACTCACTGACGTGCCATTGGCGGGGTCTACTAGTGGCCGAAGACCGAATGTGGTCTTTCAACGATTTCCTCCGCAACCTTTCCGACTCTCCACGATGTATCGTCCAATGGTGTACTCCTAGCTCACTTGGTGTATCGGACAAGTCATCCAGTTGGGTTTACTGCGGCCGCTAAGAAGCTATTTCTTCTTGATCTCATCCACGTCTCGAAATTTCCACTGACATCGAATCCACTCCCAACTCTACGCATCCCCGCCGAGTGGAACTTGGGGCTTTTAAACGTCAGGCCTCGGTCAACTCGGGTGGGACTCGTCACTCTGGAGATGGTCGGTATTGGCTCCTTTGGGGGCAGTACCAGGGGTCTACGCTATCGATGCTATCGGACTAGTATCACGACAGACCTCAGTCTTCAACTATCCCAAACCAGCGAACATCAAACTTGCTGAATGAGCATCGCAAACCCGTGTGACCGGTGATAGTCGCAGTACCCAGCCTCCATGTCACGATGGGTTGATTGAAGGATAATTTAGCGGGCACATTGTGGTTCAGATGATTGACAGGGATGGTGATCTTCACTGACATCTGCAAGCAACGCCTACGAATACATAGCCTGGCATGCTAGGGCTCAATGCCCGTCGGAGGGGTCCGTTAACGAACCGTTACAAGTCTGCGGCCAAGAGCGATTGACTCAAGTCAATCGCCAAGGGGATGGTGATACGTCGGTCCCGCGATGCAGATCTAGCGTCCTGGGCATCTCCAGGACACGGCAGATGAGCAGTCCGAGAACGGAGAGTCTGCTTCCTAAACATCGCGAAGGCGGGAGGCTTCGTGACTTCTTGAGCTCCTTGCAGCTTGGGGTCACAGGATCGTGAGACATATCGGCTATTCGTGCCTAGTGTCGTGCGAACGGTACCGGAATGAGCAACCGACTGATTTGCAGATTCCCAAAGACGCTGTAACAAACTCAACATTCTTCACACATGCCTCTTTATCTGAACCGCGTGAAGTCATCACCTTCCCTTTTCGGTGAGAACAACTATTTTGACATCCTCTGTATCACACACTAGCATCGAATGATCCTTTCCCCGCACTTAGCGGCCGCGGCGTTCCTCTTGGGCTCAGCAGCATCCAGAGGCCACGGAGCAAATGCCAGAGGAAGGCAATCCCGGCGCCGATGTGGCGCTATTGCCGATGACGCGGGGAGTTAACCAGATTGAATTTGATTCCGGTGTATCTGTGGACGGCACTAGTTCTCATGTGCTATGGCCGTGTAGTCCAGAACAGCAGTGTCGGCTTGACGCAGGATAAGCATTACGCCACGTTCGCACGCCGGAAAGCTTCAGCACCAGGCCAAGCAACCACCAACTGTTTGCTGTTGAATAAGACCGGTTTTGTGAGACGAGCACTTTAGAACTCTAGAAGTCTAAATCGACGATTATATATTCCTCGACAACTTGTCGCATGAAATCCGTTTGGGACTACCAGTCCAGGTCCTAATCACACCTCTGCCCTAAGTCCCCGGCCATAGAGGAAAGTCTTGTCCGCCCCCGACCTGAAGCTGACGCCTTAGAATTCCAATTAGGGAATGTCTTACTTGGCATTCTGTATGAGGACTGGATGGATCACAGCGGCGCATCTGACGCAGTTATACATTTCCAGAGCCGCAGCCTGCTAACAGAGAGGCGCGGGAAAAGTTCACTTTTCCCATGTGGTCTATGGAAATGACTTCATCATTTGCACAGTCTAAGAAGTTCTGAGAGAAGGTGGGCTCACAAACCGAAATAACAAGAGTGTCACGGAAGCCACTGGACAGACTATCTCCGCGGGCCAGTCATCGCTCCCAACAAGAGAGTAAGTCTAATCTTGATCAGCATAAGATCCTGAAACTTCCTCCGCATATCAGGGGCTGCGAGTCGGAAGCAGCCAGTTACTTCCACCGTACTTGCTTCCATGACTGCCGTTCCAGCAACGGGGCAGCACTTCCTACTCGTCGAGGCCCAGCAGCGGAGGCTGATGAATCCTCAAGTGTGGCGTAATATGGCATGCGACGGGAGCTTTGTTGAGAAGCAAGGACCATGTCCAAACGCGATTCCGAGTACAGTAAAATTATCCAGAAGTTGGTGACCACAACCCACTGAAACCCCGCCCCTCATGGCATAGGTCCATCAGCATGTTGTGACAGGTCAAATCTTCGAGCACAATGCCGCCAATCCCGGGTGACGTCGGCGCCACGGCGACGTCTCTAGGAAACCAGTTTTAACACCCGTCTTGGGTTGTTGACATGCTCCACTGCCCCAGGTACTAGTACTGTCACTAAACATATGTGCCGGCGGGATAGCCCTCGAGGCTAAAGCAGCGCCGCAAGCGCCTTGGGTCGTGAGGCTTTGTCGACTTAGCTTCGAGAAATATCTCCAGTCTCCTCCACCCATGTACCCTGAGAGACCATTTGGAATATGTTCGCCTAGGGCCACCGGGTGGATTAGGCCAGAATCTGTTGATATTCTACAAGATTCCCTTTCCCTTGAGCCCTTGATGCCGTCATCTTCTGTTGGCATGTACTGAGTAGGTATGTTGCGTTGTGCCAATGTCACGGGATCCGAATCTGGGAGCCCTTCGTGAGCATTGAGAATCAGGGGGAATAGCCGGCCAATGCAAATCAACGACCAGAAATATTCGAGCTGCCAGGTTGCAAGAAAAATCAGCATCACGTGGAGACCAAGCGAGCGGGTGGATGCACCAGGCACTGCATCTAGATTCTAGATTGACTGGGCGCGTGACGACTGAATTCCTTTCCACCCCCATCCGCCCTGTACAGGCTGCACAGCTCTCAGAGGTGATGAGTTACGATGGAGATCCAGGCTCACCAAGAGATGAAGCGAGCTCCATGAGGGCAACCGGGTTCTGATTTGAGTCGTGACTCCGGCTAGGCACGGCATGCAATCTCCTGAGAATAATATCAAGACTCCCGATTTGCTAGAGAGGCATCAGCTACGAAGATGAAGGTGCGACAATCTAAGGCCAGAACAGCAGGAGACAAGTACAAATCATTGAAAGGACGTGAAGAATCCAATGCGAGTCCGGTGCGTGACTAGACTCAGACTCAAATATAAACAGGATACACTATCTTCAGAATCGCATTTCCTAAGCTCTTACTACCGTCTCGACAGGTTTAGACGGGTCGGCATACAGACGCCCGACGGTATCACCTAGCTCGAGTCGGTGTAACTCATTCTTCAAGTTTCCAAACGCAACCTCTTCGATAGCAGGAGTAATTTCTTTCTTTGCAACCATCTTCAGCGCCATCTCAACTTCATCCATGGACGACCCAACAGATCCCACGAGATGCACACCCAAGGCAACGAAATTATGCGTGTCGATGGTGGCCTCCTTCTTGGTGAGTCCGACGAGAACGACTTTCCCACCCGCTTTTACGGCTTTGGCGGCTGCAGCAGTGGTGACGCCGACTCCAGCAAAGTCGAAAATAACGTCAAACTCGACGCCAGGGAAGTCGTCCAGGGACCTTCCACAGCAGTAGGCCCCAGACATCAGTGCTGCAGGATACTTGCGACGATGCAGATCGACCCCATAGACCTTGGCGCCACGGTGAGATGCAATTTGAACAGCGGACAATCCGAGGCCTCCTAGTCCAATGATGGCAACTTTCGATGACTCTTGAACCTGCCCCTCAGTTGCAACAGCGTGATACGCTGTCGCAATGGCATCTGTGGCAACGGCGGCTTGCGCAAAGCTGACTCCGTCGGGAATGGGAAGCGTCTTCGATTCGTAGAGCAATACGTACTCGGCGAAGCCGCCGTCTATGCCGATACCAGGGCTTTTAACAACATCACCGATCTCTACCGGGTGTTTCGCGGTGATCACGGACACAACTTGGTCTCCAGCTGCAAACTTGGAGACCTCGGGTCCACAGCCCACCACTACACCGGCAATTTCGTGACCCAGAGTGATGGGCCTGTTCCAAAAGAACGTATTATCGAGTCCCGAAATGATGTTGCAATCGGTGTGGCAAAGCCCAGTCGCCTTAATCTGGACAAGGAGCTGATCCTTGACCGGGACCGGAATGGGTAGCTCACGATATTCCAGGCCTTTCGCCGGAGTTGAAAATTGGTAAGCCTTCATCGTTTGAGCCATTTCGACGTCTTTCCAACCAAACTTCGAGATGCTTTCTGGATAGTCTGAACTGCCTGGGAGTTGCAAGTTGTGGTTGAATTGAGCTTTATGACAACAGTTTTGTTGTTTTGCGTACAGTAAGTAGGTCTACGGAAAGGGTGAGATCAAGGAGAGGATTGGGTATGCCAGAAGCCCTTTTACTCCATTGGTAGCCTGAAAAGTAGTTTATTATATCTTTAACAATATCTCCGACGATGGGCACTTCGTGCCATGATGCCGTTTTGCCGAATTCATGATTACTTAGCATTTCACCTAGTCAAAATCGACATATTCTGAGGGTGTTCAACTCATTCTCCGTCAGCGCCTGCAACCTCAGAGATCGGCATCGTCATCTCGGTTCGTCATTTTCTGTCTACGCCCATCTGCTTGGAAATCGTCTTAGCAGGCGGCGGGGTCCGGATCACTCCGGCCCTCCATCCGGAGCGATTACTGATTGTACTCCACACATCGGTCCGTACCTTAAACATTGCTCCACATTGCCCCGGATCCGAAGATTGGGGTATAGATTACGTCTGTGACCTTGACTAATCATGCGCAGTAGCTGGGTGAAAAAACCTCCGTGGGGTAGGCGCCTTTTCCATACATCACTAACCTTGAATTCCGATTCATACTAGAGATTCCGAGGGTGAAGTTCCCAGTCGGAAAGGATGACATATATCTCAAAGTCGTTACCGGAAGCTCGGGAGACTACTCAACAGTACTCATGAAGCCGGAAGAGGCGGAAGATCGTATATAAAGCGAATGAAACAATGCTAGATCTTCAATGTTAATCTTTACGATCAACCGAAACCGAATTCATAACCTCAATCAGATATCGTCCAGCACCCAAGTCTAGCTACAACTCACAACTTCCTTCGCGCATCATCACAATGTCCACCTATCAAACAGTCCAGACTCAATATGTCGCTGTTGACAACACCCGGGTCGCTTACCGTCGACTTGGGGTAAAGAATAAGATTCCCTTGCTTTACGTCAATCACCTTCGCGGCTCAATGGACACTCTCGACCCCCTTCTCTTCAATACGATTGCGAGAACCAGAGAGGTTATCGTGTACGACAGTTTCGGTATCGGGCATAGCGAGGGCGAAGTGCCCCCTTCCACTGAAGTCATGGCTTCAATTGCGGCCAAGTTTCTGTCTGCCCTTGGTGTTACCAAGGCTGATGTGATTGGATTTTCTATGGGAGGCGGCGTAGCTCAAATTTTGGCATGGAACTACCCTCAGCTGGTCCACAAGTTGATTCTGGCTGGGACCCAACCAGGTGTCGGAGAAGGAGTTGTCCTGCCACCCCGCGAGGTCCTTGAAAGCGCCGGTACAGCCAATGACGAGCCACCCACCAAGGAGGACATGTTCCGTCTCTTCTACTACCCGTCGGAGACAAGCCTGGCACTTGGTGAAGCGTGGTGGAAGCGGATCCACGAGCGAAACGTCGACGGCGAGGAGCGTAGAGAGTATCTGATTGGACCCGGGGCAAGGGCACAGCTCAACGCAATCTTCTCATTCACGGTCGACACGGACAACTTTGAGCGCGTGAAGAGTATCAAAGCTCCAACTTTAGTCACCAACGGCCACACTGACATCATGTCACCAACTTCCAACAGCTTTACTCTTCAACAAAACTTGTCGAATGCTCAACTCATTATCTATCCTGATGCTGGCCACGGTCATCTCTTCCAGTACCCAGAACTCTATACGCGTCACCTCAACCTCTTCCTTGACAGCACTGAGTAGTCAGACTTTCTTAAGTAGCCTCATTATGGAGAATGTGATCCCAGTTGAGCAACATTAGCATGATTGAACATTGCAAGAACGTGAAAGCTTGGAGTTGCAGCATACTTGAGTTGAGCGCCACACGCGCTGCTGATCACTACCATACGATGCGGCTCGCCACGAGCCGATGGCCCGTCTCATACGAGTTGTAAATACATCATACGACCTCACACATTGGTTCCAGACTGGCTAATCCGGAAACTGTCCAGGTGCAAAGATACATAGTGGGAGTGCCGCATAGAAAATAGACATCCACCTTGACGGACTACACTTGCCTCTTAACCAGTCAGACAACAAACTCATTTGTCTAGAGTTCAACCACGAAGCCCCGTTAACTCCATCTCCGAAATCAACACGATTCCACAGCGAAACAGCCCTGGACCCATTCAAAGTCATGATAAGTCAAGTGGCAGAGAAAGTTACCTCTGGCAATACACAGATCATGACCTTCCTTCGCAGTTGTGATCTAGTTTCTCAAGTATTCATCCAACGCAAACTACAATCGCGAACACGATTCATACATACTGCTCACGTCACACAAACACAAACCTGAACAGCAAACGAAGGGAGATCTCTTCTCAACTCATCAAGATGCATCTGTCAGCTATCGTCCAGGTTCTTGCTGCCGCCTTGATCACTTCTAGTATGGCGTTTCCGACCTACTTCAACAGAACTCATCAGAAAACAACCGCTGAAAAGCTTCCGATTGCGATAAATGACACCTTTTCGGCAAATGAATCCAGCCATATGACGCTCGCGACGACATCAACCGGTATTAAGTTGTGTATTCACATAAGTAGTACCACTACTGAGATGTTATATGGACTCTTCTAACTTGATCAAAGGCGAGCTTGAGAGGTCTTTGCCCTGCACTTTGCGCCCCTGCGGCTCTTGGCGGCGACCACGTCTTCTACCAATGCGTACATGGATGCGAATGCCGGAAGCCACCGAATCTTAAACCGCCCCCAGGTGGGCAGTAGCAGAGTGATCAAGGATACATGAGATGTAACAATCACTAGGACAAGAGTTAGACGGGCAATTGAGGAAAAGTCATCATTGTCAAGATAGCCGCGCCAAGGACCTGTCACACTCACAAACTCGTCTCATTACGAACGTAGTCTACAGAAAAGGCAAGAAAAATCGGATAAAGGCCTCGCACCTCATACCTACTGGCATCAGATGGCAGTAGCGTTTTAGTATAATCATACGAAGTCTTGGTAATTATCGTCAGAAAGAGTCACTTTGACACTCAAATATCAGCGCGTTTCTCTCGTGATTTCAATCAACCAGCCTTTCACGAAGATCAATTGCCTTCACTGTCACCTTTATTTACCCAGCGCAACAATGTGTCAACGTCGGTGTCTACGAGCCCGAAAGAAAGCGTCGATTACCAAGACACCATCATCAAAACTCCAGCTTTAGCAAGCCTAACCTTGACACAAGCTTGGGGCATATCGGCTAATTACACGTGCGAATAGCCCTAAGGATGACTACACGTAGTTACTCGTTCGCAACAAGTAAGTGCCTAAGCAGCTGATGAGGCCACTGTTCGAATTCTTTGTAATATATGATCAAGTTTTGATTGACGTGACTTCTGTTCGGGAGTTGAAGGTCAATAAAAGCCTCGACACTGTTTTTCCGATGTACTTATTTAGACTGAGATGGCATTCAAATTTAGCCTATCATGATGACTGCTCTACTTAAAAGACCTCCTCCTGCTCATCATCGTTGGTAAGTTGAACATTGGGGTTGATTTCGCGCTTGAAAACCTCCTCCTGCTCGTCGTCGTTGGTGAGCTGCACGTTGGGGTTGATGTCCCTCTTGAAAACCTCCTCCTGCTCATCGTCATTTGTCAATTGAACGTTGGGGTTGATGTCCCTCTTGAAGACTTCCTCCTGTTCATCATCGTTGGTAAGCTGAACATTGGGGTTGATGTCGCGCTCGAAGACTTCCTCCTGCTCGTCGTCGTTCGTGAGCTGGACATTAGGGTTGATGTCGCGGCCTAGGAGACCCTTGGCAGCCTCGGCATCCTCAGGGTTCTCGGCAGCGAGGGCCTGGATGGCGGCGTTGAGCTCGTCCTGGCGGGCAGCAAGGGTATCGAGAGGTGCGGCCATGACGGCGGCGACCAAGGTAGTGAGAGCGATGGTGAAACGCATATTGGCGGTATTGACTTGAGTGAATGATTAAACTTTGTACGTTGAGTTGAATGAGCGCAGCTCGGAAGTGAAGAATGGATCTATTCGAGTGGACCGGCACAGAAGAACTGAGGATAAAGAGTTCGTTGAAAGATGGAAGGACGGGTGGACGAATACGGATATTTCAACATTTTGGCAGCCCAGCAGGGCGGATGCCTCGGATCGCCACAAACTCGAACAGCAAGCTTAGAAACTCCCGAGACGCACAGCTGCCGCAGAGCCGGTGTTGTGGATATCGAATGGCATCCCGCTGACGTTTCTTGGCAACGCGGACTCTATTTCCATCTCGAAACGACGCTGTCGTCTCGCCTTGGCGAACGATTTTGGGTAAGTGCTTGCCTACCGTTCTCGCGCTTTGCGGTGTTGTTCTGATGTACATTGCGAAGGCGTTTCGAGCATCAGGCGAATCGCATTTCTTACTTGCCGTGGGGAGGCCTCGAACAGGGGCAGAGGTTCGTCGGCTTGGTGGGTGGGATTCGTGGCCCGGTTTGTTTACGCTGATCAAACCTGGCGAGCACGTTCAGTAGGATGGGCTTGATGGGGGTCTCCCCGCACGGAAAGGCTGCGGGTTGGACGAAGAAACATCGGGTGAAGCGATACTTGTCGGGAGCCTGAGATTCCGTGCTCAGAGCCTCACTTCCTGCATTTCATGCGGCACGAGTGCTCGGACGGCGAACGGATGAGATGGGTCTGGTTCTCACATGAATCATTCTAGTCTCCCTCAGCCAGAAGACCTGAAAAGCCGGTCACCACAGCCACTTTTGGGTCGTTGGCGGGAGACAGCTCATCGTCGCTAACTCATCGATTTCAACTTGCACAACTTGACTCTTCGGGACGATAAACATCGATACGAGTTGGAACTGGGGTTCTGTCGATCCTGAAATCCTTCCGAGACGGTCCCGTGCCGGGGACTTTTGCCGCCATCCCGCTATTGCGTCGCAGCGTTTCGTTATGTGTCTGGAGCTGTCCCAAAATTGTCCCAGCGGCTGCGTGACCGTGCACACGAGGTTGCTATAGACGCAGACTTGGCGCGCCTCCTTCACTCTACTTAGTAGCATAGGTTATGCATATCTTTTAGGAACATTCTGCTTGGTAAGGTTAAGTCAGAAACTCGCCGTTGATCGGCGGCCATGAAAAACCGATCAATGGGTGGACATAGTCGATCTTTCCGGGATTATCGCTGAGACGAAGAGAACAATTCCCTGCTCGTTCCTCTGAAATCAACAACTCAGCTGAGTTGGAAGGCCCAAAAACCATAGTGCCATCTTCGCACTTGATCTTTCCTGTCATCTGTGGCAAACGATTTCTATGGTGAAATAAGTCTCAAGTGCAGCCCCGGTCAGGTCTCGCCTCACCTTCGATTTACTAGCATAGGGCAGCTTACGTCCTCCCAATCGCCGACGAATCAGCGGATCAGGATCACAGCGGTTACATGATCAGCGTAAGATCTTAGGTGAGACGGTTAAAAATGGGAGGCTCTCGGCTTGCCAAGCAATCTTAAATTTGGTTCCGTCGCGTTCTCAACTCTATGCTGACGTCCAGGTAGACTGACATACATGGCTCATTATTCTCATAATCATCAAATGTCCTTCGACTTCGTTGCCAAGCGGTAGTCCATGCCTACCGTCACACTTCCGAACCATAGCGCCAGCTTGTCCACGATGAGGTTTTTTCTTCCATACCAAGGTCCCTGGTTAGTCACCACGGGCATCCGACCGTGCGCGCGGGTGAAGTAGTTGGATGTGGCATCTACACAAGGCAACCTGGGCGAGTTCTTCTTCTCCTCGTCCGACAAGACGGGGGTGGCAGCCACGGCGCCGGTCTTCTGCATCTGCTTAATGACACGGATGCAGAGCCGGGTCACGGTGTCGGCGCCAGGAGTCCAGGTTTGAGTGACGTAGCCGATGATTGCAGCGGCATTGGGCACGCCGTCAAGCATACATCCACGCCAGCTGTACTTCTCTCCAACGTTGACGGGAACGCCATCAACCGTCACGTCTGTACCTCCGAAAAGCTGCACGTGCAGTCCAGTCGCTGTAACAATGATGTCGGCAGGTAGGTGACGACCGGATTTGGTGAGAATGCCATCCTTCGTGACCGTGTCGATATGGTCCGTGACGATTTCCGTATTTGGCTGATGCAGCGTCTTGAAGACATCACCATCCGGACACATGTTGAGGCGCTGCTCAAAGGGGTTGTACTTGGGTTTGAAGTGAATGTCGACGGGGTAATCTTTGGGAAGTCGACGCTTGGCATCGAATCTGAGGAACTGTTTGGCCAAGTTGGGGAATCCTAGGACAATCTGGATAAAGACAGTCTCAAGCAGGAGATCCTTGAGCAGGATGAACCAATTCGCCATGAACAGAGGCAAGACCCTTTTCGCTGCCTTGTCCACTGGTGATTCTGCCCCTAATGCGAAGACATAAGACGGGCTGCGCTGCAGAATGGTGGTGGAGCCGGCTTTTTTGGCAATATTGGGGAATAAGGTCATGGTGGTGGCACCAGAGCCGATGATGATGACGCGCTTTCCAGTGTAGTCAAGGTCTTCGGGCCACCACTGAGGGTGGATCGTCTTGCCCTCAAAGCTCTCGATTCCGGGGATATGTGTGTCCAGAGCCTTCTCGTAGGAGTAGTACCCGGAGCAGACAAAGAGGAATTTGGCTTTGATCTTCTTCTTTCCTTCGGGGGTGTTACACTCCAGAGTCCATCGTGCCTCATCACTGTCCCAATTTGATGATTTGACCTTGTGCTGGAACCGGATGTGCTTATCAATGTGATGTGTCTTGACAGCATCTTCGATGTAAGATGCGATGGGCGCGCCTTCGATTATCTTCTTGTCGTGAGGCCATGGATGCCATCCGAAGCCAAAGTTCGTCATGTTCGAGTCGGAGCGGAATCCAGGATATTTCCAGTAAGACCACGTCCCACCGACTACGTCACGGGCCTCGAGCACCGCGAAAGTACTGCCCGGCAGCTCTGTCCGCACACGATACGCGGCATTGACGCCGGAAATGCCTGCTCCAAGAATGAGAATGTCGAGTTCTTCCGCCATCGTGTCTGTGGTCTTCTGTCGAGCTGGAAACTGGTGTCTCCTGCCTTGAAGTCGTGATGGCAGCAAAGAGCTTATGTATGGAAACTCGTGTGGTCAGAGGATTTTTTGTTGAGGCAAAGTGCATGCCGAGGCTTTTTTCCCTAGCGGGACGTGCACGCGTCGATCTCGTGCTTGGTGGAGGATGCCATGCAGGGGCTCGCATGTCTTAAAGTGTCTTGACGCCTCCTCAACCCCTCGTTCCAGCCTCTCTTTGGCTGCTTCGTCCCTCCACTAACATGCGAATGCGAACGACAACGTCAATCAAAACGTGTACCTCGGCACATTTGACGCTTCGACAGCGCTTCTGTGCGTCTATTGACCTATCGATTTGACGGCAGCTTCTCGAAAGCTCTATCATGATTGAGTTCATGCTTTCGCTTCCTCGCCGTCGCCTCATGTTTGTACATGCACTCACCCGAACTCACCCACTGCATAATTGCCTCGCTGCCTCGGCAAGCATCTTCTTGTTCGCATTCGTTCAGCCAAAGAAAGTGTAGATCAATACCTATACAGGGGGCTTTGTCAAAGCGACTTGAGGCTGTCTTATTTCTAATGATGATGGTCAATGTCGGTAAATTCACATGCGAATGCCAACGCAAACGATAGGTGAGCGGGGACAGGTGGGCTATACACGAATGAAAAGTATGGTGTCAAGGACACCCTTCAGTCAAGCGGCTTTAGGTCCATGTTCTGCTTAAAATAACGCCAAAAGAGGTTGTGTACGCCGCCGAATCCCGCTATCAATCGTTCAGCGTCAAAATAACTAGGTGTCGGCGCCATGGAAATCTTAGCAAGGATTCTGGAGACGAACATGTTGAACTTATGCTCAGAGAAATGAAGGAAAGCTAGGGGTGTTTCATGAGTCGCACCGGGTATGTTGTAAGGGACTGTGAGTCCCTTAGTGATGTTAAGTCTCACGGAAACAGCAGTGTATCCAATGTCTTAACATAAAGGAACGGCGCACACCCTTATGGACGTCATTTATTATAGCCTTATTTACCATATCAACCACATCGTTGAGCTACACTATATACTGCGGCCGTCAATAGATTTTCATAGCGCAGGCGGACTAATTGAATGGATGCTACACTTAGATAGGCTAGCTTGCCGTTCGGGTTCTGTCAGCATGCGTCATTTAGGATAGGATTGGATGCCAATGTTCCTTCGGGCTACTTTGCCTCTAGCAAGATGTCAGCGCAGAGACTCGAACGGGGATTCATGGTATGATTATCCTCACGAGATTTCAAGTATTCTGAACATCCTTAGACCGAATATTACGAGTGGCACTAGTGTGAAAGTTATTTAGACTTGATAGCCCAAGAAGAGAATGTCGTGTCAATCACAACAAAATTCTGATTACAAGGCTTCAACGCGAAGATGTGAGTATGATCTTGGTGGTGATCCTCTTTGATCCTCTTCCTGGCCGGAAACCCTGCCGCTACGATATCTACGTGCAGCTACCTAGGTAAACTACATGTGGTGGTTCTCCACAAATTGGGTGTAAGAAGAACGTCCAACACTAAAGTTGCCAGTCGCCCATAACAGGATCCATTGTCCCCGTGATTCTTTATTACATGCCGTGACTATGGGTGAAGCATGAACAGTCAAAAACTTATCTAAGCTTTATAAGCGCTGGGTAGGCCATAGAAGATGTCACAATTTTCAGCTGGAGCACCTTAGTATTTGCCTCGATGAGTTAAGTAGTCGTAGCCATCGTTTCCTTGAAGCGCTGAGATGTTAGTAACTTTGAGCAATTCAATTACAAAACTTTACTTACGTCTCCAACTTTCAGTATGTGCCCGGAAGAATGCCATTTGTTTTTTGTCTTTTCATGTGTTCCTACCTAGTACCTAAACAATTCAAACTCCACCATAGCAAAACTTCGAGGTTACCAAAATGAATATCATGAATCAGGTTCATTTGATCCAGGGCTCGTGAAACACGGAGGAAGAAACCATGAGCAAAGGACAGGAGGTATTCTGGGCCAACTACATGTAGATATACACACGCAATTTCGATAAATGAAGGTCGCTGCTTTACCTCTCAGCAAATGGACCTTACCCGCCTGTCTCAGATGATCTAGATGGGGCCAAATCTTTCTAACATGGCAAAGCACTAGAGCTTGATATCTTACAATCAATGAGCAGAATGCCCTAATGTTTCTTGGTCGTGACCGATCTGGACTTGTATTCCTCCTTGTGTTTAGACATTGTGGGAGAACCAGTCCGAGATTCGGCTGGCTTCATGTAGTCCCTGGATATCTTCGAAGCTCATGCTCTGGCTTATGGTTTCGGATGAACAACATGATTATCTCGTCGAAACGAGAGTTCTATCGGCGACAAGTCGTACTCGCTATCTGCCGGCCGGCGGACCGAGCCCCGACCCCGTGATTGGATGTGATAAGAGCTTTTTAGACTGTGTTCGGCGGTATGGAGGCAATTCGGAAACTTGAGGCTCTGCGCCATTTGATCACGCCTTTTGAGAGTTAAGTAGACAATTCGGTCTTCCAAAACCAGCCAAGCCACCGTTGGTGTCATCCTCGAGATCTCTATGCCTAACGCCGATGACTTCGTCTCACATCAGCGGCATCTATCATGCAGAACCGCATCATCCGGGTCGCGGGGTTAGGCGTTACGTTGGCCGAGCGGGGTATCCCTCTTGGTTCCGCGGCGAAGCAATTGACTTCGAAGTGAAACTTTGCGGGGTATCATCACCATCGGCGCCAAATCGGGTGGGGATCCGATAGCCTAGGCGCCCTCATATTAGCGACATAAAAGACATGCAATCGTGAAGATTAGGCGGAACGGGCAACTTTATCCAGTCGCGTGCTCGAATCAACGTTTGACTGACAGCATTCGGCATTGGAATGCGGGGAAGACAGCGAATCAGGTAAGCCAACGCGTGGGCGTTGGTTCCGGTCCGGCCTGTTCGGGGATGGCTCGGGAACCCTTCCGCCAAGTCGCCGGTCGAGGGGTCGGGAGTTGAGAACGCTCCGAAATGGGACATCTGGTATAAAGGAATTCCTCGCCGTCTTTATATACACCACTACGAAACTAATCAAGTCCATCAAGGTTCTACTCCATCAAGGTCCTCGGCCCACCCATCAACACCACTATCTGATTATTCAACAAACACCAACAAGTCACAACACCTCTAGTCCACCATGGCCCCTTCTCTTCACCCATTGATCGACAACGGTCTCACCAAGGGGGACCCCAACTTCGCCGGTGGAAAGCTTCGTTGCCATTGCAAGAGCAACCCCGTCGAAGTCACACTCGGAGGCAACGTTGCCCACAACCACGCTTGCGGATGCTCAAAGTGCTGGAAGCCCGCTGGCGCCCTCTTTTCCGTTGTCGGTGTTATTTCAAGAGACCAAGTCAAGGTCACTGCGAACGAGAGCAAGCTCCACGTTGTCGACGACTCGGCGGTCATTCTCCGAAACGCCTGCAAGGAGTGTGGGGTTCATCTGTACGGACGTATCGAAAAGGCACATCCCTTTAAGGGTCTGGATTTTGTGCACGCGGAGCTCTCGGATCAGAAGGGATGGCAGGAACCCCAGTTTGCCGCCTTTGTTTCTTCCATTATTGAGCAAGGCTTCCATCCTAGCGGCATTGATGAGGTTCGCAGCAAATTTAAGTCTGTTGGGCTGGAGACATACGACGCCTTGTCGCCTGCATTGATGGACCTTATCGCGACTTGGACTGGACAGCAGTCCGGCCGTCTTCCGACCAAGCTTTAAAGATCACCCAAAATCATATAGCTGTTCTTGATATCCTCGATTATTCAGATATGGGCACTCGGACTGCACAAAAGCCACAAAGGCATGGATTGGTTATCATGGTAAAATCAGAAATGTAAAATCACATAGCTATTCGTATCATACAGACTGTAGGTAGCAAAGTGTATCAGCTGCTTTCACGCGCCATGCTTCGTGGCCAACTGTCACGGTCTATGATGTGAATACCACCAACAGCAAGAAACACTATTTTCTACCTTTGCCTATGGTTCTCATGAATTAACGGGGAAGGGAACACTAACTGTCGATCATCGCAAAAATGACGCCTTTAAATGCGGGTAGTAAACAACGCCATGTATAAGTACCCTACGAGATCGATGTTCACACTTGAACAACTTTTGTCAATTTCCTCGGTGCTCCACTTTGTAATAGAGAAAAGGTCGTTGACAATTAGATTCTTGCAATACTTAAACTTAAATGTAATTACTCAATACTTGGTGAGATACGTCACAAGCTCTCCAGCCCTTTTTGGACTGTGTATTTTGTCTTTTAGATTGGGCTACATCAAAACGGCAAATACGCCGATCTAGAGATTACTAAGTATGGCACGACAGAAATACGTGCGTGAAGTACTATGTCCACACCATTCGTTGGCGCCGGACTATCTTGACTGATCGCATCAATACGCTAGAGGAGCCACCACCAATAGCTATCCCATGGCGTGATGCAGCTCAGCTCTGAATTAATTTACACTACAACCTGAGGAGAAAATCCAGTTAATCTCTGCACAAGGTAGGATATATCACCTCTAGTTCCAGATACGGCAGATGGATTTGAAAGCAGACCAGATTGATTTACGACCTAAAGACGAGGATTAGAACATACTCGAGCTCGAAGGACAAGTGAAAATAGTCTTGTTCAGTTGAGTGTTTCGAAAAGAAATCAAGGAAATTGACAGACCATTGTTCACCTCCAGACTTGACCGAATCTAGGGCTCGGGTCAGGCAACATCTTTTCACAATTAGTTTCAGGAACACCGAGGCAGTGTCTTGCCTACCCATAGGAGTTATCAGTTGAAACAGTAGACACTCTGCAAAGGTATCTGTTGTAAACGAAATGAATCTGCATTTTGACACTTAATTCTATGGACTCATAAGAGCAATATTTACTAGGTACGACGACTAGCTAGCACATAGGGTTCAACAACGAACATCCGTATGCGATAAGAACTCGTGTGGAAATCAGTTTGCGGAGTCCCGAAAACAAAGCAAATGCAGGTTCCTTGCGAAGAGAACACAAACACTCGGGTACGGAGTATGGAGAGTATCTTATTTACTAAGGTGCCAAGCTCATTTTTCAGCTGAACCAAAGTCTTCTAGGCTTGCGGGAAGTGGGTGTCATTGGACGTGCCAAATCTCCAGGCGAGTCGTGCGAGTCAACAGCCGATGATCTTGCCTTGGATAGTTCTCAGTATCAAGTACCAACACCTGTGCGGCTGTGACTGCACCGGCGCCGACGCCACCGAATCCACGGAGCAAGCTGTCGGCTCGCTCCCGCGGCCGCCGTATGATATGCCGGCTTGATTGATGCCCAAAGTTTGGCAGCAGACGCTCTGCTGTAACCATCCCACAGGAAGGTCAAGGAAGAAGATCCGGCTGATTGACTGAAATAGGTGACAGCAAGCCGGCACTTAAGAGTCCAGAAACTACCGCCAAAACTTACTTTCACCAAGTCAATAGATCGCCGTGGGGCACGATTGGCCTAGTTCCTGCCCCCGGACCTGTTGTTCGAATTCTTGGCGACGCAAGTTTCGGAGCGTCGGCTGTCGAGAGAAGCTCATCCAACGAACTGCCTGCCGGACCCACGCCGACGCCATGAGGTCAGGACTTGGCTGCCTGAAAAGACAAGTCATGTCCGAACTGAAAAGAGGCAAGATGGAAGACGTCTCCATTCGGAAGGGAAGTGCTGAGATAATGGGATTTTGCACAAATGAATCAGGGTTTGAGACGGCCCCATAGTTGTGAGGGGCATCATAACTTAGTCTCCCTCGCTTGCAAGGGTTGAAGAGTCTTTGCCGGGGTGCTTGACAGGACACTGGCACCATGTGCGGTAAGGATCGACGTAAGACAATTTGGACAATTACTGTGCGCTTTAACACTCGGCCAGCCGCTTCTACCGCAAAACTACGGATACAGAGTGGGAAACGGCAATAGCGGTGAATTTGGGTCTGGGGTCCGGGGTTGAGCTCAAATTGAACCTGCACTGGCATTGTCGGGCGACAAGCGACGAGCGTCGTTGCATCGGATTCTGCAACGGCGGTTCGTGACTAGACGCCGTTGATAGCGCACTCATTGCCGCGACTAAATAACACACAGACTAGGCCGAGTTTTCTGGAAGCAATTCTGGGAGGGTCTTTGGCAGATTTGGCACTTTACGAATAGTCCGTTCTCTCGGCTGAAAGCCAACCCGCTGTTCTCTCCCTTGCGTTGCCCAGACACGCCATTTTCTTGGCCAGGCATGGTGTTCTAAGCGGCTTGGCAGACAAGGAACACGTATGCGAACCCCTGAGGGAAATACAACGCACGACATGAGGAACGAGTCCTCGGAGCTGGAAAGGTTGCCGAAGCTCGGAGACTGCAGATTGCCTTTTGAAAATTTCTGATATGATGATGATAGTCCGATCTTAAGGCTGATAGTCCAGCGCAGATAACTATAATATTTGAGTCAGATATTCAGCACCGACGCTTTGGTAGCCTTGCCAACTTCACTCAAGTGAATCAACTGTTGTCTCAAAAGTTAAAAAAAGGCTACTCGCCTAGTCATGCCGTGCCGCGAACGGCAGTCAACACTATCGCAGCGTGGGGGCCCTCTAAAGGCTTTGCAATCTTCAACACTCTCGGGACTTCATATACCGCGCAGCACACTACCGGAGGTTTGCGGGCGGAGCAAGGGTCGACATAGGCTAGACTATCCTCCAACCTGGGACCTTGCTCCTGTTCGTCTCCGCCCCAACCTTTGAGAGCAGAAGATTCTCCCGTTCGCTCGCTTGTGTTGCAAAGGTGTCTCTGAGGCCAATGATATTAAGACTTCGAGATGGAGGATCATGGTGCCTTGCAGAGAAACGGAGCTAGAGACGACGCCCCCTTTCCCTTTCTTCCAGACCACCCTTGGAACACGAGAGGAGTCAGGATCACGCCGTCCACATTGGGGATCTGCAGAAAACTCTACTGTACAACGGGGTGAACGGTTATCTTTCAAAGCCTGTCAAGCTTATTTTCCCGTGTATCATGTTTAGCGTAGTCGTTCGACTTGGTTCAAGCAGCAGTAGCGTCTTGTCTTCCCGGAGAGGGGGAAACTGTGGCGACATCGTGGATCACCCTCTCAATAACACAGAGAGATCTACATAAAGAAAAGGGTCCTTCCTGTCTCCCGCTACTACCCTCGATCTGACCGCTCCTCTCTCCTGGTTCGCTTTGGTCAACAGTAAGATTTCTTGGCTCTTACCCACGACGACCCGGCGCCCTGGGACTGGACAGCACGACTCATCAACTGAGGAGTCAGTCAAAGCTTCGCCTTGGGGGCCGATCTCCCTTTTACAAGCCTTTTACAAGGCAGCCTGGCTGCGTTCTGCAGGCCTGATTACATATTCATATCCATCCATCTTTCAACATGGAGTATGCTTCGCTTGTTGCCCGGCGCCCTGAGCACCCCGACGTGTTGACAATACCAACTCCGCCACATCAACAAGCCGCCATTTTCATCACTTTCTTCTTCCCGGCGCTTTCGATAGTTGTGTTTGGGGCTCGAACATACAGCAGACTTACGACTAGGCAATGGGGTCTCGGTATGTTCCCCAAAAACTGGGCGCTCATGTTGGTTGCACGGATATCTATGCAGGCTAACACTCGAACTAGACGACTGGTTGTGCGGCATGGCAGTGGTACGCAAGTTCGAACGAATGAACGATAACCGCAAACCGAATATTGTTTGCTAACAAAGATTGTAGCTATGCGCAGTGTGTATGACGCCGCCCTTTTATATGTGTAAGTACAATACTACTTTACTTCGGCACCATATGCTTTCGTCTTGTCTCGTCTACCTACTAAACTCCATCTAGACATCAAGCTCATGTATTTCGGATACCACGCCGTTGATGTCCCCCAACCATTCAACTCGTCAGCCGCCATGTGGTGGTTCTTCATGGCACAAATGTTCTACAACCCCGTGTTGGCCTTCGTCAGGGCCTCAATCTTGGTATTTCTTCTGCGTCTCGGAGGACAGAAGCCTGGCGTTCGATGGACCATCCACGGTTTGAATATCGCCAATGCCGCCATGGCCATTGCCATCTTCCTCGTCGCTCTTTTACAGTGCCTACCGATCGAGGCCAACTGGGATCCCCTCGTACGGGCGTCTGCACGATGCGTCGACAACTCTTTCCATGTATCGATATCCTGCCTCAACGTCTTGATGGATCTTCTCGTTCTGTTGCTGCCGTTCTGGATTTTCTTGGGCTTGAAAATGCCGATGGGCGCGAAGATTGCTGTCATTTGCGTTTTTTTGGTTGGTGCAGTGTAAGTCTTGCAACCATGACATTGAAAAACTTATCCGTGAGCTGATAACATCCCTGCCAGCGTTACCATTGTCGCAATTATCCGTCTCGTTGCGATCTACAAGCTCTTCTACGTGCCTCCGGACCCCAACAAAGACCCCTTCTACGATATCGGAGTTGTCTACAACACGGTCGAAGTGAACCTCGCCATCGTCTCGGCTTCCGCCCCGGCTCTGCGCCCCATGTTCCGCAAGTGGTGGCCGAAGCTATTTGGTGCTATCAGCTCCGGCAAGACCGGCAGCAGCGGGCTGAAGTACTACGGCAATTCCTCTCGGCCTCGCAATACGGTCCGAGAAGGCGATAATATCACGCTGAAAGACATGCGCATGACACGCTCGCAACACCATACAGAGATCCGAAGCACGTCGCCATCTGGATCCGAGGAGGAGATCATGACTTACAACGGCATTGTCCGCACAACCAACGTCAACCTAACCTATGAGTCCAATACCAGCGTCGGGGACGACTCTAGGTCCTCGACTGATTACAGGACCGGAGAGAAGCCCCAGAGCAAGGGGGCCATGGTCTGAGGAGATTTGTATGATGACTCAACGTTGGACAAGAGCTGGAGTTTAAGGGGCAGCGTTCGATTTCTGAAGTTGAAGCAACATCGAGATATCCCCGGGCTACAACCCGCAAAACAAGTGTAATACCTTTTTCTTTGTCTTTGTCATAGTGTAAACGACTTGAAGCAACGATATTCATACCCCAGTCCACAACAATGTCCTGTTGTCGGCGTGCCAGCTGGCTTGACTGAAGTCAAAGGCTTCTTATTCAATTAATATGCTCTTTCAGGGAACATAGAAGCTCTCCCTACTGCC